TTACTACATACTCTGTCTAGAAACCGATATTTACGGACAAGCTTTAGCAGATCGTCCCCCAAGCCACTCTCGTTGAAAAACATAAAATACGTCTATAGACGTCTTTGGCAGCCAATGAGTTAAAGGTGGTCCTGATGAGGGTTTTCAACCGCTGCTATTCTTGATGGACCTTGTCAACCTGGCATCCATCACTTTGTCAACAGAGTAGCGGGGAGAAACAGTAGGAGGAAAGGGGGCATGGGAACAGTTTAATCCTGGAAACTCTTTTTTCAATCCTAAGAAAGCTGCCAAAATGTTGGAGTAGAACCTGAACCTCTGCCCTGCCATCGTGGTTGAATATTCTGAAGCTGTCCACTCCACCGTTCCCGGACTGACTCAGAAAGCACGTGAAGCGTGATTACATCTCTTTCACTGCAACATCAACAGCGGTGGTTTTTGAAAACGGTGCCAGCCATGCACCTTTCAGCTCCATGCCCCGAAAATCACATTTCATAATAAAAATGCAAACACTTGAAACTGATGAATTAATTTGGAAAAAAAATCTCTAATTATGATAACAGATTCTGCAAATGACACATTTTTAAGTAACAGTGTGATCAGTAAGCAACGCAAAGAGCAACTTTACCAGCATTTCTTTTCAAATGTATTCCCTTTTTTGCCCTCCTGCTCTAGTGCTGGAGGGCTGCAGCCCGTCCTCTCCACCTAGCTGAACAAGCACATGCAAGGCTCGCTCAACATGTGGAATCCAGCACGTGCCTTTGAATAGAAAATTAATCATTAACATTTATTTTAAGACATAAAAGCAGCAACAAGCAAAATATCTAAAACAAATAATACTAATTCAAAAATTGATGAGAAATGTATGTAAACATATTTCATTTTAATCATTCATCATTTTAATCATGCCGAGGCAGATGGCCGCCCACCCTGAGCCATGGTTCTGCTCTAGGTTTCTGCCTGTTAAAAGGAAGTTTTTCCTTGCCTGTGTCGCCTAGTGCTTGCTCATGGTGGGAATTGTTGGGTTTCTGTAGTTAACTTCAGAGTAGGGTCTGACCTGCTCTGTTTGGAAAGCGCTGTGAGACAACTGTTGTTGTGATGTGGCTCTATATAAATGAAATTGAATTGAATTAATTTTAATTTTGTGATGTCATTGTCTGAACGTGTGTTTGGACTGATTTTGTATTTTGTGATTTTGTGTTGTTTGGTCTTCCTGCCTCAGGACGACAGATGTAAACTAGCAACTATGCTATAATCTGGCTCATTTATAATATGTATGAGATTGTTCATTACTGTGCACTCTCCTGATTGAATAAATAAATAAATAAAATAAAAAATAAAAAATTCTCCTCTACTCAGCGATTAATTTACCTTTGACAACCGAAGGGTTGCTGATGGTAAGTCCCAGCATTTGGCCGTCTGGATGGAGCTCTCCAGTAGTATGTTTTCCACAGTAGATGGAGGATAGCATAAACTTTGGCAACCAGGGGTTCCTTCTTAGTGACAGTCAGTATTGCCACTTCCAACCTAAGTGAACGACAGCATAAAATATATAGTCATTCTAGTTTTATGCAGTGTATTAAAGTATAGCTTGAACTTAAAAGAAAGGAGATGGACACGTCTGGCTGTAGATGGCTGGCTGTTTAACTGGAGTCAAACTACTTGTATAAAATACCTAAAGGTTGAAATAGTTTTTTTTATCTTGTGTTGGTGACATATACCCGTCTACGGCCAGACCTGATTTAAATTCTTCCGCGATGGTCGAAATCATCTCGGACTAGATGTCATAGGATGGATTGATATCTGATCCACTCTTTTTGTAAAGTGAGATCCAGCTCCTAAATTTAGTGACCAGAAGCTCTACCTCGGCGATACAATAAGCCATGTTCATCTGCATCTCCACCTCTTTAAGCTCAGCCTCCTCCACTCCGGCCTAGAGGGAGTGATGGACGGTACCATAACGCTCCGGTTGAGATGAAGGCATACCCGGGCAAGAATGTGACAATTTGATTTGTGGTGTTTTTAACACGATTTCATTTAAATATCACATTTCCCACAACGTAAGAGTTTTCTTCCGTACGTTGCTTCCGTATGGTACAGACAGAAGAGAAGCCATGGGAAGTCGTCTTCCCACTCCTTGTTGTACTTATGCATTTTTCCCTTCTCTCAGACGTAGCTTGATTTGTCTCAGTTTGTGCTTTAGTTTCTTCCTGAAGGACTGGTGTGGTTTTGTTATCCATTTTTGGGTTGAAATACCGCTGCATTTTTCACAATTCCAAAATTTAAAAAACAATTCTCTGAAGTGCACACCGTCTTCCAACAGACTGGTGACTAACACGCAGGAATTGTGGGAATTGATGCATAGTACTAGGTTGATTACAGTGATATGGTAACATTTAGCCATCACAATAGACTACAACCACTATTTAGCACATTGCACGGCGTCAGCTGTCAAATCTTCCCTATAGTTGAAAAACTAAGTTGCTTGGAAAACACGAGTGCTACATATAAAAATAATTTATCACACAGATATTTTTGTATCATCAGCAACAGTAATAAGATAAGATAAGATAAGAGCTTTATTGATCTCACAGTGGAGGAAATCACTGGTCACATATCGGTTAGGGTACAAAAAGGTGCATAAAGTACATCAAAAGCAAGCAAATATACAAAGAAAGAAACACAGCGTAGAGATTTGGGTGATTAAAATATATACAATCATTGAGGGCTCACACACAGTACACATATTATACAGGTCAATAAATATAAAACAATTGCACAGCAGTTGTTAAAGTGCAGAGTTGTACAGTCTGGTAGCAGAATCAAAAAGTATTGGTCCAAACACAGAACCCTAAGGAAGTCAATGATTTACTCTGGTGTAAAGATTAGTCATTTACACGAAGAAACTGTAATCTATCAAATAAATATGACTTAAACCATGCTAATGCAGGCTATGGTCAATATAATGCTTTGATCAGATGCAGCCGTGAGATCCAAACTGACAACCACAGACACATCACAAAACAAATAACTCTGTTTTCTTACTTCTATCTTTAATCATGCATTTTTTGCCATTTTTAGATGTTATCAACATCAGGACTCTTATCCTTTTTTTGTGCTTTACTGAAACCTTCACCTGTGATACTGTATATGAGTGTTCATTGGATGTTCTCTCTTTGTGTCCCTGTTCTGATTTTTTTTCTGATTTATTTATTTTTGTTCTTTGTACTTTCATATATATACTTTTTTGTACTTTTGCTTTCTGTGTGAGTAAATTCAGTCTAAAGAGGTAAATTAATTCAAATAAGGGCTGGGGAATTTTCCGTGTTAATCTCGATTGATTCATCTCAGAATTTACCAATTCAACCAATTCTAATTATAGCTTGTCATTACAAATAGGGAATGTTGTCTTCAATCTTTCATCTTCAATGTTTAGAAGACAAAGCACTACGATGTAAACTGTAAAGAGAAGCTTCCCCCAGTAACACTTGCTTGGTCATTTACAAAGTGGTGAATATATATATTTGATTTTAAAGAGAATGAGCAAATATATCCAGTCATTGTTCCTTTTCCTCTTATGCCAGCTGAGCATAACAATACCAAACATTTTCTTTATATGTGACTGTGTTTTTTAGTTTTTATTTTTGTTACAAGATGAAAAAAGACATTGCTGTTTTATAAAAGGGTTTACTTTAATGTCTTTAAAAATAGCACAAGATATGAGCAACTGACAGACCCCATACTCTTGGAAAACTCAGTAAAAATTCAACAAAATTTAGCACACTTGTCTTTATAGGCATAACATACCTAAAGAGGAAACAGGAAAGTTTTTTTTTTTTTTTCAAAGTACTGCTTTTGTTAATGAATGTGTCTGTCATTGCTATATCCGCTGTGTTAGCATTCTAACCGCCTTAGCTTTATAGTCTGTCATAGAGTTGATACCATATAATTACAAAGTGGCAGCCTTTAACTCAGAAATGAGTTTTTTAGCATTGGACATATCATTAAATGTTGTGTATGTGTGCAAATGAGCAGGGGTGGGGAGTCACTGGCCTGTTGCCAGACCATTAACCTCATTCCCACATGCACTAGATTGGCAAAAACAAATCAAGCTTTGTAATGCTCTTTGTGTAGCATGGGAAGAGGTGTGTGTTTGTGTGTATGTGGTTGGACAGGGGGAGGTTAAGCCTGCTGAGTGGGATGAATACTGTCTTTTCAGACTTTCTCAGTCTTTCATTAAACTCTCTTTTACAGAAGCTTACAGCAGATCTGTTTAAACTTGCAAGACACAATCTCCCCTCCATACCAGGGATGGAATGTTGAAAGGCTAAACATGCTTCAAGGTGCACAAAGACCTGCGATGGGTTGAATTATAGTGAGAATTTTAAGTTTGTTTCTTCCTTTGTGTCATGATATCTGGTGCTGTGGGTCCCTCTCCTCACAAGTTAACTTTAAAAGAATTAATGTAGCTTCAACCCTAATTCCCTAGTCTGCTCTGCTGTTGGCTGGTTTAGAAATATACTTCAGTAAAATATTGGATTTCAATGGTAATGAACCTCCCTTCGATGTTAAAGCTTCTTTTCCGGTAGTAAAATGAAAAACACCTTCTAACATCTGGCTTTTGAACGTGGTGTTACCATTTTAATCAACATTCTGTTCTGAGTCAAATGAAAAATAATCAGCTCTGGCTCCTATTAGCAAGATGACTCATAATGACCACTGAGAGCCCTGTGCTTCGGACTGAAAGTGTGGCCACTGCTCAAATATCTTTAAAAGATCAGTTTGATTGTTAACTACATACAGTGTCATGCTGAGCCCATATTTGTATGTTGCTCACATGCTTGTGTCCATGGTGGAAATGGAAAGGACTGAACAGATCCTGAAAACCAGCCGGAGATGAATGGACTGATGCTAAAATATATGCTTAATGTTCTCTGTTACTAACTCTCTGCCAGCTATATCGCATGTTGTACATCATGAAGGCTATTTGTAAATATTGATTTAGAACATTGCGTTATATTCTTTTTTTGTGTTGCAGGTTTCGATCTGAAAGATGTGTTCGTGAACCTGAGCTGCCGAGAGGTCAAGAGGTGACATACCTCTCCAAAGCTCCACTGGAAACAAATGGTGAGGTGCCAGATAGCTTTTATACTCAATGACTCCTTTTGTTGCTGCTTATATGACTTAATATTATCCTTATACTCTATTAGAATAGAGACAGAACAGTGTTGTTTCATTTTATAGAGTATCCTATGATGTAATAGGGATATAGAGTATATGTTCATACCTTTTATGTCTATCAGACATATTTGCTCTGTCAAATAAACAGACTGATGCTATTGGGGTAAAAAACACAAGGCATCTTTTAGGACATCTCAGACTTACAGAACTACTCTGAACTCTCTTCCTCCAAGCTAGACGGTCTTGAGACTTAAAGGGAGCACTCTTCTCTTTTCTTTGTTTGTAGATAATTTATATGATGTCAGTAATGCAACTTTTCTATGTATAAGATTTTAGTATATCTGTGCAGTGCTGGGCCATAGTACAGATTGACAGCCTTATAATGTCAGAGTTCATGTAAGAAATGACAAATGTTTACTGTAATTACAGGCATCCTCTCCTAACTACTTTGTTTTTTGTTGTTTTCTTTTCCCGCAGCTCTTCTGCCATGTTTCCAGGCATGGTTTGTCATCTTTGGGTGTTAATGGTCCAAACACTGCTTTCTCTCCTGCTTTTGGGAACTGACTGGACCTGCGTTCCATCACCCGGTGCTGCTGCTGAAGGACCAGACTCGGCCTCCTCTGATCCTTACCCTACCTTTATGTGGAACAACACCGTATTCGAACATCTCGCGCTGCATCCTGACCCCGGTGTGGGCTGGGTGTATGTTGGAGCGCAGGATCATCTCTTCCAGTTAGATCAGTTCCTCCAGCCCAAAGTCCAGGTTAACACTGGACCTGTCAGAGACAGTCGAGAGTGTTTGCCTCCCGTTACGGAGAGCAACTGCCCACAAGCAAGGAAAACCAGCAATCACAACAAGCTTCTGCTGGTTGATCCTTTCTCTATGGAGCTCATTACCTGCGGCAGTGTCAACCAGGGGATCTGCCAGAAGCGCAGTTTGGATTCGGTGGATACAGTACTTTTCTCCACAGAGAAGCCGGTGGACAGTCAGTATGTGGCAGCCAACCACCCCAACGTTAGCACCATTGGCCTCGTGGTTTTCTCCCATGCAGACAGGCAACCACTTTTGTTTGTGGGCAGGGGATACACCACCAGCCATCCGCCCATTTCTACGCGAAACCTGGCCCAGGAGCCCATCTTTTCATACGAGGACGCTGCCAAGCTGGCTGTGGCCGGGCGGCTGTCGGAATACGACCACCATTTTATAACCTCATTCGCCCACCTTCGCCATGTGTACTTCCTCTTCTACAGGCGGGACCTGAAGTCACAGTCTCGGGAATACCGCACTTACGTGTCCCGCATATGTTTGGATGACGAGGCGTATTACTCCTATGCAGAAGTACCCCTGATGTGTCACTCCAGGGCCGGTAAAACGTACAACCTCCTGCAGGCGGCCCAGCTCGGGCTGTCTGCGGGGGGTGCCACCAGTCAGCGTTCTGCTATTCTTTTTGGGGTCTTCTCCACTCAACTGGCCTCCTCAGCAAAGCCCAGTGAGGACTCTGCCCTGTGCATGTTTGAGCTGGACGATGTGGACCAGAGGATTAACTCTACCAGAGACCTGTGCTACACACAGATGGGGAGAGAAGCAGGAGCAGAGGCAGCGTACATCGAGTATGAGGTCAAATCCAGCTGTGCTAACCTGCCAGAGGTGAGATGTGCTTAGTGAATGAATTGTCTTTTTGTAGTGTTGACTTTAAAAAAAGATGTGAGTAAATGAGACATAATTTATTTAAAATAATTGATGTACAACTAATCTGGCAAATATGCAAACTTCTTCTTCTCAACTTTACAAATAAAATGTTTTTCATTGCAAAACTATTTCTAGATCGGAAAAAACAGTCATCAAATTTGTATTGCACAACTCTTTTTAAAGATTTTTTTCTAAATAAGAAAGAAAAATATTTCTGGGAAATATTGTTTCAAGTTTGGAAAACAATTAGAATTCTGACTTTTACCCTCAGAATTCAATTTTTTTTTATTCAGTGGCCCTAATCCTCTTCCGTTCTGTAGGGCCTAGCTGTAAACCCTTCTTTTATCATTTGGTTACGGACATAAATGCAGAAAACCTTATGGCACGTCACAGTTTTTGAGCTTCCTTGGATAACCAAACATGTTATGACGTTACATGGAATTTAATGTGCCATTTATCAATGTATATTTGACTATATTTGATATTAAGGTAACCTTTGTGGTTAAATGAACCTTTGTTCTACACTTCAGAACACACTGGATGCCTACCCGTGTGGCTCTGACCACACTCCCAGCCCAATGGCCAGTCGGATTGGCGTGGAAGTAGAGACCATATTGGACAGCCCATCTGCTCGTCTCACAGCTGTGGCGGTCAGCATTAAGGCTGGACACACCATTGTGTTCCTGGGAGATTCCAAAGGATATCTGCACAAGGTAAACAGACTGTGTTTGGAGATTTGATGTCATTATAGGATTTGCTGGATGGCTGGGACCATTTTCAGGTTTTTTATGATGGGACGATAAAGATCGTAGAGAAAGATCTCTGAGTATAGACACTGTGGAGCAGATGAGAAGTTCAGGCTGTTGATGCTTATGAAGGTGCTTATGGATGGCTTTATTGGGGAAAAGATCCTGCAACCGAGTGCAGTTCTAGTCAGTTACGTTTAGTCAAAGCAGTGTTTTACTATTATAATGCAGGTAGATTTTCTACACTGAATCAACCAAGAATATCTGGTGCATATCCACATATTTCTGTGTAGTTGTCAGGATGTCGTAGTTACAAGATAAGGCGTTTAATTCTTTTTTTTTTCTTCTGTGAATGCAATGTGCTTCTGTAATAATGGCAGTGTTTGAGAAAATAGATTTATTCTACGGTCCAGTAGCCTGTGCAATCACCTGATAACCACAATTTTAAGTACTTTATATGTGTATATATTTTTTGGGTATGATCTTATCCCTCTCTCAAAGTATTTTGTCTATCAACACAGTATTAACTTTTTGAGTTTTGGGACAATCATTAATGGAAATTTCTTTGAGCCCACAGTACATCATTTCAATTGTATTGAAATTTAGGCTTGATCATGGACGTAGATGATCCTGTGAATCAGCCAGTTTCGTCAAAGCTTTGGCTGCCATGCAGATGGTCTCACGGTTGGCTCTGGAATACTTTAGTGTACAGAGGAGTTTATGACTGGTAGTGCTATTAAACTAAATCCACCGTTCACCACCATACATGACAGTTCTTATAGGATACTGGTTTTCAGAAGCTGGGTTTGGAATTGGTCACTGGCCAAAGAGCTACACTTTGGTTTTCTTGTTTGTTTGTTTTTTACATAGTGTGGTCATTTATTTGGTAAATATTTCACTTTATTTAGTAGTATTAATTGAATTTGTTTGTTATCAGGTTTCTTCTGCTCGCATTAGTCAAGTCTTTGGCTGCTGTCTTTATTCCTCCTTGGGCCATAGTATTAGCTCACCATAGCTCTGTTTTGTTCTTCCTTTGGTTTCAACATTAGTTTCCACTCCTGTTACCTGTTCACTATCCTCAACTAAAAGCTCAAGTAAAGGCAACAATATTTCTTGTTTCTTAAAGTAATTTTACCTCCCATCTGGAAGTCATTGTCATCTCCAAACCTTCGTGTTGGAGAGTATCAACTTATAGGCATGTCAGAAAAGCCAGGTTTGGGTCACAGAGTACATCGTGCGGCGTGGGAGGAGGCACAATGCTGCATTGTAAGAGCTGCACAGTGATACCTGAGACCTTCTCCTCTGTTAGGAAATATTTTTTTCATTCACCTCCGGAACTTAGCCTCTGGTCTGATCCTGCCTTGGACAAAGTTTTTCTGAAGTTGTTGCACTACCAGGATTGTCCAATCTTAAACATACAGATAGCTTATGCTCCAAGACCCTTCTTTTCTGTGGCAGTATGTTTCACATGATTTGTTTATGTGTATAGTCTGAATTGTTGTGACATATTGTTTTGACTAAAATATAAAAACAGAAACAATTATTGTATTTTTACTTGCCTGTTAAATCAAGGGCTTCATCTGTGCAAACTACTGACCTCCCATGTGTCTAACTACACAAAAATATGTTCTTTGCCTGCCAAATTTGATGTGTGATAATAATGTGACCAATATCAGAAGGACTAAATTCCATGGCTTTAAGGAGGTTAAATTGGCATTACCATTGCATACCACATGTCTGACAATGGCTTCTGGCTCTACATATAACACTCTGTTCACACTGCAGCCTGCACTGTGACCCAAATCCAATTTTTTGTGAAATCTGAATATATCAAACCTAAACGTGTCTCACATGTGCAGTGAAGGATGCAATAACATCACAGGTAGCGAGCTGGTCAGTGTTTGGGTTCCAACTCTTCATAAAATGGCCAGGTGACACGTCCACAGCCGATTTGTTCACTTGAGTCTTTAGGCTTTTTATATTTGTCCCAGAGACTTGCTTTTCTTTGGCATTGGAGCCAGGAACAATACACACACCCTCAGCCATTTCTTGGGAAATACTAACAAAAATCTCCCGGCTCTAACAAGAAGCCCCGATTTTCACCAGGATGGAGCTGTGGCCCTAAATACTAAATAACTCATAAACTAGGCTTTCTGTCCACTGACTGTTCTCTGCATCGTCATCCGCCGTTGATGTTGTTCTTTATCGTAGCTGGACGCAGAAAAGTGGCGTTTCTCGAGGATCAATGATGTGCAGGCCGGACAAAACATCTGTACGGACTCAGATTACATTTGAAAAGATCAGAGTCTGAATCAGAAATACTTTGATAATCCCAGAGGGAAATTATTTAAGATACGCATCAGATACGTATCAGATTTAGGAGCACACATCCAAGTGGCATTTGAAAAACATTCCATCTGTGTTGTTCATCATGAAGAAATGGGATACAGGTCGCATTAGGGGAGGTAAGCTAAGCTGTATATATGATTTTTTTGTTTGAACACAACGCAATCAGTGCTGCATTGTATCTTAATGTATCCATAATAGGAAGATGCAGCTTAAAAACGGTATGTTGTTCGCCAGAGTAAACTAACTATCACCAGAATGGATGCTCAAATAAGATATAAAGGCTTTGGAAGATTTGCTGCCTTCATGCCTCATCCACTTTTCACTATTCTGGAGATTTCATTCATCTTAATCACTGAAAAACCTGCCCAAATCTTGAGTAATTACTGTTTGTATATTTTTAATGACATAGATTTTTACATGACTGTGATGTTTCTCCTAGGTGTTCTTGGGGCCAAATGGTGAGGTGGAGGAATATTCCGTGATCCTCATTCAACAGAATGCTGCTATCAGTTCAGAACTCATCCTAGACCAGAGAGAAGAGCATCTATTCATCATGACATATAACATGGTACAAACACAACATGATAAAAAGTTACAATTTTTAGCTTGTTGCATGTCTTTCCAAATCCTGCTTACTTTTTGTTGTAAGTATAAAGGAAAATATAACTCTTGTTTTTGCCCGACAGCGTGTAGTTTTGATTGTTCTAATTCGCATAATTTTCATTTATCAGTACACAAAATCTAGATAAAATGCATGAATAGGCACTGAGGCTTTGTCCTATCCACAGCTTCAGAAAAGGCCAGTGACTGAATGCGAGCAGCATCCCGACTGCCACTCCTGTCTGCTGGCCCACGACCCTTTCTGTGGTTGGTGTGTCCTGGACGGAAGGTGAGAGAAACACCCGCTGTTAGCTTCAGTAAGGTGTTGCTTGCTGTCAAAAAGCAAACAGTGCAATACTTTTGCAGTGTTTGGTCACATTTAGTCAGAGAGAACATTGTAGAATGTATTGTACAGTAACCATTAGCAAAGCAACAAAATCTCAGGTGAAGGGTAATATTTATATATTGATTATCATTCATCAAATCCAATACAAATGTAGAAACAGAAGTAAAATATGATTTGGACACAATAAAGTTTCATAGACAATGATGCAAGGAGATGGGATACTATTTTTTGAATTGGTTTAATGTAGATATCCAGTTTCCATTATCACTGAAACTAACCTTTCTATCAGTTCATGGCACCTATAGCTCCCTTTAAATTGAAACAAATGATTGACGACTTCTGAAATACATATACTTTCTTATGATTCTTACCACAGAACCATATCGTATTAGATAGCTTTTGTGTAACCTCGCCTTTTATTTTGAAAAGAAATGCTTCAAATAACACAGAGTTCTCTTTCGGTCAGTACACTCAGTAAAACACATTAGTAAGGAGATATGCCCCCCCCTCACAGAGAGGACCTGAAGTTTTTCAGCACGCCTGTAAAGGCCAATGGGACAGCATGCCAGCTGATGCAGTCTGTCTGACCACGGAGGACTTAAAAGATGTGTATGTTCACGTCTCAATTCTGCCCAAACGCAGACGATTCTGGCGCTTCTCCTTTGAGGGTGCTGCATTCCTATACCAAGCGCTGCTTTTTGGTCTAGCTCTTTCTCATCGGGTATTTGCCAAAGGTCTCAAGGCAGCCCTGGCACCGATCAGGAGTCAGGGAATCCAAACACTTCACTATCTGGATGATCTGCTGGTCTTGGCAGACTCGGGTTACCAAGCAAGAGTTCACACAGCTTCTCTGTTAACACACCTTTGATCACTCAGCTTTGTAATAAGCCGAGAAAAGAGCAGCCTCACCCCCAGCCAGAAAGTCTGTCATCTAGGCCTGGAGATGGACTCCCCTTCCGGAGCAGTGCCCAGCCGTCCCGGTGATGGGATTTAGCCTTCAAAGACTGTCTCTCACAATTTCCTCCGAAGCGTTCGGCCATGAGCCGCCATGATTCCAGCAGCTCCACTTGGCCTGCTGAAGATGAGGAGGTTCCAACGTTGGTTTATTCACAGGCAGCGGCGAGGAAGGAGGCTGTTGGGGGTCTCCCCTTCCCTGGAAAGACCCAGTGTGTCTTGGCATGGGAGCCCCCTTGGGTCTGGTCTCCTCGCCTAGCGGGTAACCGCGGGCGGCTGGAGCTGGGGTTGGGGAGGAGTCTGCCGGAACGAGTAAGTGAATGGCGCTTGGCAGCAGAGTCAGAAGCAGCGGCATATAAACACGCCGGAGCTGGTGGGCTTTTTTCTCTCCCTGAAACACGAGAAAGGCCTGAGTGCTCATCAGGACTGAATCTGGTGCGAGAACAGTGGTGTGGTTGCTCACATAAACCAGCAGGACTGGACGCCCCCCCCCCCCCCCGTTACTCGATCCCACACACGCTGACGTGGTGCAGCTCGCGGCTACCTTCCCTCAGAGCCAGGCATATCACCGGGGTTCTGCAACTTGAGGCAGACTGGCTCTCCAGGGGGATTCCCTGGAGACTGAGAGGAAGTGGAGACTACACCCACCAGTGGTACACCAGATATGGGAAGGTTTCAGCCGAGCCTCCAGGGAAAGCACTCATATTCCTACAAGCTCCAGGATAGGAGTGCTCCCCTTGGGTCAGACGCACTGGCAAACCCATGACCGCCAATGCTGCTTTTCTTCCTACAAATTAGCTCCATAATGGATGTTCTCACTTTTCCTGCAGGACCTTTTGGGGAAGAGCCTCTTCTTCTCCACAATAAAAGTCTATCTATCAGCCTGTCACACCGGATGGGAGGGGAACACTCTATCTTCCCCCTGTAAGGACTATCAGGTTCCACCTTTTTAGTCTCCTCTGGGTGTGAGAATCCAGGACCTGACATGCTCCAAGTAGTCATATTCAGACTGGGAGATCATTTTGGGGGTGCTCCAATTGATTGTACATTATGATTATCCAAAATCCTGTGTGCAGTTTAAGGGAGCATTCAAAATAGATGGTGATTATAGTGAATATGCGGATATGATAGAGGCTAACCGGCGTACAACAGAGAACGGTAAAAGCCGTAAGACCTCCCAACACGCTACCCCCTATCCTTTACACCTATATAGATATCCCCTCCACACCGCCACTACTGGTCAAGCAGACTATTGGTCAAAGTGTCGATCCATATATAAACCAAGCCCCACCACCAAACCAAACTGAACTATCCAAACCAAATGAGAGAGACTCAGACTATGCCCAAAGACCAAAACTATAAATGGCTCCAATACCCCCCGCTAGTGGTTTCGTTCATGAAGGGCATTTTGCAGAAGAAACCATTGCGTCAAATCTTTAGCCAGTCATCGGGGATCGTCTGTAAAGTGCCGTGTAGATTGAGAAAAATGAGACTATTTCTACCCTGAGGAGGACTGGCCTCCAGGACGGGCAGCCGTCTCATTGGCCTTGAAAAGCTTGTTGAAACACTTCAGGAATTCTCTGTGTGAGGGGGCCAAATCCCGACTTCTAATGTGTTGTACCTCGTTTCCCTCCCTCAGGGAACATTGATTATTTGCATATACAGTGTACCGACTGAGGTGTTTTCCCCTTAGGTGCGTGTTAAAATCCCAGTGCAGTCGTGGGAGCTCCTCGGGTCAGTGGCTGTGGAGTTTTGACATGGAGCAACAGTGTTTGACCATCCAGGACCTCAGCCCCTCCAACATCAGCAGGGAGGAGATCAAGATGGTAAACCTGCAATACATCCTCATCAACTTGAGCAGTAAATGGCCAAAATACAAAACAGGGTTCTGTGATGAGATAAGCTTCTGCCTTAGGCACCTACGAGTTTTCTTTTTCACAGGGACCACGCAGCAAATGTTCATAATTCGATATATGACAGTACAATGTATTTTTTAATAAGTACACTACTGAAGCCAACCCAATAATACTGTGCCCTTATTCTTCCTGTGCTGTAAAATTGATTTTGCAGTAAAAATTTCAATTCTTTTAGATTTATTTTATTTTGTAACTATGCAATTTTAAGTCCACTCATTTTACCTGACTATTTTCGCAGAAAAGCATATTTGTTTTCTTGTGTGTGCAGACATTTATGGTTAAGCCTTAATATAATGCTGATCTTGGAAACTTTGAAGCTGAAATATAACACGAGCAACCAATAACTCAAGCATATCAGTCCAGTTGATTTTGTGAATATAGGTAAGCACTGAGGTTTCCAGGGCTGGGCTACCTTGGATAGTCTAAAAGAAGTTCAATCCAGGGCAATAAGAAACAGTCTCACTATTACAAAGTAGTAATACAATATAATACTACTAAAATAGTAGTAGTACAAAGCTGCAAGAAAGCTGCCTCAACTTCCATTGGAGGGGCTTAAAGAAAAACCATAGTTAGGAATTAAATTCCTGCAGTAAGATGCTATGACCAGAAAGGACTTAAGTAGCTCCATTGTGATCAGCTTAGCCATGTTTTTAACTGTAGCCTGGACAGGCCGGCCTTGTGTCCTCATACATGAAGCTGTTTGAGCTGCAGTCACTGTGTCTTTTGGATTGCCCTGTGGAAGGGCTGCACAAAAGAAAAGGTTATCGACATATAGCAACAAACCTTAGTGAGCAAGAGTGGGGGGGGGAAGACCGGCTTTCATGCCTTTAGTATAGCTGGTTTGTCTTTCACAGGAGCCTTGACATATGTGTGGGAAAGTTCAAGATCAACCCAAAACTTAATAATCAAACAAGAATGGGCTAATTGGGTGAAGAGGAACAGAAAAAAAAGCTGAGAAAAGTGTGCATCTGATGGAATTTGAGACAGAATAGTGTGCAGGTTCAGCACAGTGGGCGAACGGGCTTGAAATTGCTCCATTCACGGCTTTAAAAAGTATTAGAGCCCTCAAGTGATGCCATGCAATATATCCTAAACCAGCAGCAGAAGGCAGGACCAGGCTGTTAACAAAGAGCCTAAATCCAAACTCAGTCGAAGTTAAGTCAAGCTGAACAAGATTAAACACACCATCAAAAATCACTGATGTAGAAATCATGGGTCATGAGAATTTCTGTCACGTGAATTTCCTTTTTTTAATCTTCTAAATCCTTCATGTAACTGCTTTTTTATCAGTAGTAATCAGGAATGATAGTTTTAAGTGGGTGTGTGTGTAGCCACATATCTATTATTTATTTCACTGGCATGAGTTATGATGTGCACTTTCCACATTTTGTTAGAAAACTCAAAAAAATATTATTGTGAAATGATTTTCTTACAGATGAACCCATAACACCTTACCTACAACACAAGCAATGAAGATCAATTATTAAAGGGCATGGCAAATACAGATCACACAGTAACCCAGAGAAACCTGGAAGATGTTCAGAAACTGAGAACAACTAAATCTAACCTTAAATATTCAGACCATCATCTAACTACAGCCTATTTCAAATACGCAGCAGTTTTGGACCAGTTTTCACTTACAAAATCCCCTTTTGACCTCTGACCTTCAGCAGTCTGTCACTTCAAAGAGAACTTTCACTTCTCTCTCACTCACACATCTAAGAATCTCCCCTCAGACTGGAAAAAAGCTACTTACATTTGCCTTTAGATAAACCATCTTTTAAAACTCATTTGGACCCCTAACACCAAAAATCGGTACCCCAGCTCAGTCAGCCCAGGTCCATATCACTAAATCCTCCCCTTGCTTTCTGAACACAGTTTCTGAAGAACCCCTTTCTCTCCCCCCACAAACAAACCCCTTCAAACTGATGCCATGCACGTCAGCTTTCTTTTCAGGAGTTGGCTCTCTCGTAATTTTGTTCTGGATTATAAACCTTCAACCTTTGTGTTTTCTTCTGTCTTTTTTGGGGGGGGGAGGGTCAGAGTTCGTAGTAATAATGCGGGTTCACAGCCTTTCATCAACACAATCATCATGTTCATGTTTATCCAAAAGATCAGTGGGCTTTTCAGCCTAGCGGGCAAGAATGAGAAAACTAAAACTTTTGTTTAGACTAAAGAATGCTCTCCCAGGGCCTTTGACTTCCATGTTCCGCTGGAGTGTGTGCTCATCGATGGAGAGAGGGGAGGTTGTTGATTTCAGCGCTTGTTCTTTGCATTTGCTTTTTCCATGATTGGTCTACACTGATGTAACAACTCAGTACCAGAAGATCATTAATAATTGATGATTTTAATTGGGCTGGACTGGATTATGTGTCATGTTTTTGTACGCATGTTTTCAGCAAAGTATCCAGATGTAGTTGTGTTTTTTTTCCTTCATTTTAAACAAACAGAGCACATCCTCTTTGTATGTATGTCTTTGTTAATGTTTATCCGTGCTGCATTGGTCTGGTTATCACTCTAAAGTATCAGGTTTATTAACACCTGTACCTGCAATGATCCATTAGCAGATAACAACACCGTTACATTTTTATTATCCCCAGGTGTCAATGTCCATCCCAGGACTTCCTTTGTTGGAAAAAGGTGAATCCTACTCCTGCTTCTTCCAGGACACACACAGTCCTGCCAATGTCACCCAATCTGGAGTCACGTGCTATTCTCCTGATGTGAGGAGAATACCCATGGTGCCTTCGGGAAAAGGTGGGTTGAACTTTGAACAGTCTGCTTCTATGATGTTACTGCAGTTTGTTTACTTAGCTATTCAGTTTTTTCTTATCCTGTGATGATGGCCCTGGCCTTTCCTGGCCTTTTACACCCATTCTTACTGGAAGATAGTGTTCAAGTGATTATTAACTGAAAAGATCCCCTTTTTCCTGATCCAACTCATGCAGAGGGCAGTGATCTGTTACTTATGCCCTCATCTGCTGCTTAGAACTTGGGTGTCATGATTGACGACCACCTGACCTTTTCTGACCATGTGGTCTCTGTTGCCCGGCTGTGCTGCCATGCACTATTTAACAGAAGAAAGATCAGCCCATTCCTGACACATATATTGACTTCTAGTACAATCCTCTGTTATTAGTCGCCTTGAGTATCAAAAAGCCCTCCTGACGGGCCTCTTTAGGCGCTGGAGTCAAATATAAATCACTGGTACAGGTCTACCAATCAGTCTTTGGGTTACCCTCTCCACTCATAAATAGCTCTCAGAAACGTTGCTTACTTCCTTTCAGAACAAAATTATCCCTAGCGCGACTTAACTTTCACTTTCCTCTTTTATAGCTATTTTTCTGAAGTTAGATGGGATCTAAAGAAATTTGAGCTTGAAAATGAACAGTTGGTTAGGATATAGTGTTTAGCCGAGGCTTGCAAGTGTTATCCCGGCAACCACTGCAAACCCAGCCTCAATAAATCAAAATAATGGGATAATTAACACATGATTTTGAGGAAGCGGGCTGATGTGGTAGCTAACACCAACACCACTTAGCAAAAACGTTCAAATCCCAGCCAGGGGTCTTTCTTTACAAAGTTGGAATGTCCTCCCGCATCTGTCCAGAACTGGGTACTCCAGCTTCCTCCCACTGTCCAAAAACATGCATTGTTTGTTAATTAGGGATTTTGAATTGCTCTTTTAGCATGAGATTTGCAGAGTATGTTTGTAGTTTTGACAACAAATGTAGCTGTTTAATAAGGGACATTCCTAATCGGCATATATAGTGAGATCTGGAAAGGGCTAGACAGCTTAAAATGAAAAAGAATTGGGTATGAATATGGCTGGATGGCAGTCTTGCGGTCATATATCAGTATTATTCTTATCATTATCTCATGTTTTTTGTCTGTGTGTTTTCCTCAGATTTTGTGAGCCTCACCTTGTCTCTGCGTTTTGGGGATGTCATTGTCACAGCAAGGGATTACACCTTCTATGACTGTACAGCTGTTAAGCAGCTGTCCGGCAGCACGCCGTGAGTTACCAGATATGATTCATCACTAACGTTACCCTTTGATGTGTGTCCTTCAATGTAGACCTCTTTATCAAGTCTTTTAAGTAAACTTTCTATTGTATATTATTCATATATTCTCATTCCTGTTTTTAATTAACATTTCAAACCTATTAGTTTATACTTGTCATAAAAAAGACCAATGTTCTTTGCCTTTTACGACAGTATGACACATGCTGTATTTAAATAAATATACTTCACCTATGACAGGACTGCATTTAAAAGTTTTATAAAACAAGTACGACATAGGCTGGCATAATCGTCACAGTATCAAGCACACCATTTAAAGATACAAGAACGAGTCAGGATGTTTTCCACCGCGCTGGAAACTTCTGTGAAAAGTCTCACAAGCGACTACTAACACACTTGATGACGCTGTGATTGACACCAGATCAGAAATCAAACTACAACCGCACTGCTGTGTAGATCACAAGTAGAGGTATTTTCACATGAGCACTAGTTCATGGACGGGCATTGGCCCCCTTTTTTTTTTACCAGGGCATAAACATTTTAAAAAGAAACGGGAAACGGAAGAGGGGAAAAAAACATCATAGAACTACAAAAATAGAAATTTAAGCAAAAATAATAACAAATAGTAACAGCCATATTTATGAAATTGGCTAACTCAAAAGGGAGCAGTATTCAAATGTATTCTGTCTGTTCTTAGTGTTCTGATAAGAAACTGATATTCATTAGCATTTTATCAGTGATCTCACGCTGAAGAGGTTAAAAAGCACGTTTTTGGGTGCAACATGGGTACATGCCAGAACCACTATTTCTTTTTCTCCTCATGTTAAATGCTATGTGTAGACATGGTCCAATGCCATTGTTAACCTCTATATTTGAAGAGAAGGCTTTACTACAGTCTAAAATCTAAACATGTAAAAATACCCTTTGTGCAGTTGTCGAGGATGCGTTTTGAGCAGATGGGGCTGCAACTGGTGTGTTAAGGGTCACTCCTGTACCCACAAGCCTGTGTGTGAGGAAGGAGTGATCATCTACAACCAACATGTAAGTTAAAAAATAACATTTCAAAAGAGAAACATCATAATAAAGGCAGAATGAGCCCAGTAACTCGGAGTGTTTTCTTAAAAATACTGTTTTCAAATTCTTAAAGAAAAGTGCCAAATTCATCTGTAAGCCAGTGAGGTACAATTTTGCCTTTTTTATATGCAGATTGCAAGGGTTGTTGTAAATATAAGTAGAGAACGATTGCTATGCGAGGGTTTCAGCACGCTTGACAGATAAAGATCACTTGAGGTCTTGGGGGTGATTACAGTTATTTGCATACTTATTGTGACTGATCTCAACGGGTTTATACTGTTTAATGCCTATTGTTTGTTCATTGTACCAATTCAAAATTCATGTTTAAATAAGAAGCAAAAGTCATTGCTGTTCATTTAACCTAAAATGTGTCCTAAACAAATCCAGTTTTATTTTTAATTATTTTCCCCCGCCATCTAAAAAAAAAAAAATCCCATTCTGTTTTTCTGCCCTCTCCAGTTTAAACTCCCCACCTCATCCCCTACCACTGCCACTGTGATTAATGCCATCACAACACCAGCTGCCTCAGCAAACACCATTAATCTCGCCACGACATCTTTAATTCCCGTCACCTTGGCAGCTATTCACAAGTCAACCTCATCTCTCACACACAATGGAAACGCCACCACTGAGCCGGTAACCACACCCACCACTCTGCCCCTCCTGCCCACCAAATCTGCCTCCTCCACGACTCCAGCTGTGGAGGGCCCCACCAGCAGGAAGGATGGCAGCATAGACCAGCGGGTGGTCACTCAGAGCCCGTCCAAAGAAGCTCCCGCTAAACCCAGTGTCCTGATGGTGGTGGCAGAGTCGATGCCCGGTACTGTGGCTGATGGCCTCAGTGGAGACCAGGACCCTACGATTCCTTTACTGATCTCGGCCATCTCTCCACCGGACGTTGTGGTGGAGTCCAGCTTTAACACGACCCAGGAAGTGGACGGAGCATTGGGTCTGGCAGAGGTTTCTACCCTGGCCTCGTCCGGCGTCCCCCTGCCCACTGCCTTCTCTGTGGAGGGAGCAGCCGATTCTGAACCCATTCTTTATCTCGATCAAAACAAGACTCCCGCGCCAACAGCAACAGGGAACTCAAGTATCAATACTGACATCGTCCTCTGGTCAAACAAATCAAACGAGTATGCTGAAGTTGGCACAGAGTCGGCCAATGATAAAGCTACATCTTCAGTGACCACTCTGATCTCTGGTGATGGGGAAGTCCCACTTGGTCTCACATCTTATCCACAACTAATGGACACAGACTCAGAGCTAGAACTGGACTATCATTTTGATGCAGCTGACTCTTTTCTTCCGGTGAGTTCAACTAACTACATCTTCATCTCCTTCTCTTTTTTTCTGCATTTCTAACCTTCATCAATCCCCTGGCGCTCCAAAAAGTCCTGACTGGACTCTGTACTGCTGCCACAGGAATAAAGCTCCAAGGAACTGCTCATTCTCTTTTTCCTCTCCCTGTTTTTCCTCGAATGTCCAGTACCTAATACAATGATAAACAGCTTGTTCTCACACTGCAACAGTAACTTGTGTTGTCTTTAAGTGTTATTTTATACGGGAATAAACACAGAAAAAAAACACTCTTTTTGTTGAAGATTGAGGACGCTGCAAAAGCTAAAGAATGCACAGTGTATTTTCTCATGTTAGTGGTTTAATAATAATGTGCAAAATGCTGCATCTATTTTTCACGAGTCAACTGGTCTAATGGTTAAGCAGATAATGTTTAATGGTTAGATGAAACCTTTGGCATGCTCCAAATACTTCACCTCATACTCTCCATTTTGTGCATATTGGCCTTTTGAACAAGTGTTAGTGTTAGGATCTTAGATTTTGGTCCCACTTGAGAAAACCCCTGAAGTTCTCTGTATTTTAATTACTCAAATTAAGTAACTCGAATTGGGAAGCAACTAAAAAGAACAGTGGACTATACTCAGTCTAGTGAGAGTTGAATTCATCTATATCACAAGACAAATTGTAAATTCATTTGTGCTCGTAAGCAAATGACTAGAGTGTTAGGATACGAGGATATTGACATGTTGTGTGTTTGCGTTGAATAACAGGGTGATGAAGTTTCCTACATCAGCTGGGGAGCCTCAGCTTGTCCCTGTGTGGAGAAGGTCCAGGGTGTGTCTCTACTTCCGGTCAGAGTGAAGAGGAAGATTACCTTACTGGCCCGCAACTTACACCTCTACCAGGTGCAATACATAGAACACTCTAAGAATCAAAAACGACTGTTTTTCTACAGCACTGTTGTATTGTATCTTTGTGTGTTCAGGATGCAGAACTGGACTACGAGTGTGTGTTGGTTATCGAGGGCAAAACGGTGACGGTGGACGCTTATGTTGAAGCCGCCGAGATGAATCCCTCAGACTTTGATATTACCTGTCAACTTCACCAGGTCTGATATGAGTAGTTCTAAAAGAGGTGTAGGGGTCCCATGTGTTTACTAACTATCACATGTTATATCTTGATGAGATTAAACACTCCTCGACATACAAAATGTTGTTGATTTTGTATGTTGAACCAAATTGCACAGATTCTACAAGCTCCGTAGTCCATAAGGTGACTCCATGTGGGGGAAAACTCATTTTTTGAAGTCAAATTAAACTCTGTAACAACAAATGTGCAACAAATGTTGGGATTTCTTTTAAATCAAGCTGTTGTTATCTGTTTAGTACACGTATTCTGCTCCAGTGGAAGAATATAAGGCCATGATATATGTGAAGAGGAGGAACACCTTCCACGTGGACAGCTCTCCAGATCTATACGGTGGGACCAGCTTGTTCAATGATATTGTTTGAACTCTTTTTGACCTTTTTTTTTTATTGGAGTAAAACCTGATTTAATGGCTCTCACCGTCAGTAAACGGATAAGGTGTTTAAGTTGCTTATTAAGTTAGTAGTGGCTCCTTTCCGCTCTCGCACCAACAGTGACTCTGTACAACTGCTCCGTGGGCCGATCTGACTGCAGCCGCTGCCACACAGCTGACCCAAAATATGGCTGTGTGTGGTGTGGAGGTCCCCAGGCCAACTGCTTGTATTCCGACTCCTGCAGAGAACTCGTTCAACACACATGTCCTGCTCCCATCATACACTCCGTAAGTGCTGACCTTTGGCTTCTCAACCTTTGAAAATGATACATTTTGGTGGTAGGTAACACATTATAAATGTACAAAACGAGTCCAACATAAAGTTTGTTTAAACTGGCAAGTTGTGTTCTTTGGTAATTATTATTAAACCATTTGACAGTCACACTATTATGGTGCTACTTAATTTAACATATTCTCAGTTGTAAAGTGAGAATATGTAGAACAGAGCATCTTAATCCCACAGGATGAGAACTTCAGAAAACACATTTTAAAAATTTAAAAGTTGCTCCCAGTATAATGATCCTATGAATACAGGAGTTGTTTTGTCTGCTTTTGCTTAGATTGAGCCTCTCTCTGGCCTGTTGGAAGGAGGCACCATGGTGACCATTTCAGGCTCCAACCTGGGCCAGAAGGCTGAAGACATCCTCCACTCTGTGTCAATAGCCGGGGTGCCTTGTATTGTCAGTGCAGACCAATACGAGGTCTCCTCCAGGTACACGAGTACCACTGCTGTGTCAGGGGAAGCTGACTGAAATCTGGATTTCAAGATTTCAACTTAAGAGGAACATGTACATAAATCCCTATGATCGTTTCAGTTATGTTTGGTGTAAACCTGATTTTCTTTCTACATTTGTCCCTCAGGATAGTGTGCAAGACCCAGCCCAGTAGAGAAGAGAAGGTGGGCCACGTTTCGGTAGAAGTGAGTGGAGGAGAGTTTGGACTGTCCACTCAGACATTCAGTTATCAGGTACATCAGACTATGGCCGATTGCAGCAATATATCTAAAAAAATGTTTTTATGTGTCTGTTTGACTTCAGCTCTACCTACAGTAAATGTCCACAACAGATATAATTAAAAGATTTTAAAAAAAGGTTAAAGTCTCCCGAAGAAAGAATCTTATATTTGAAATGTTTTTTCAAGAATTGTGATGGGGGACATGAGGCATCAGTTAGTTTGAATTAGAAGTGGGACGCAGTTAAAAATGTTAATTAGGTAGTAACTTTTTAATGACTGAATCTCAATAAATGGCCTTTTTAATTGAATTTCACAATTTGATATGAATCTTTTCAGGATCCATTTGTGATGGCTGTATCACCTCAAAGAGGCCCAAAGGCAGGTGGAACAGCCCTGACCATAATGGGTAGAAACCTGCTTACAGGTGACGCTTCTGACCTCAGCATCACTGTGGGAGGGGTGCCCTGTAAAATGTGAGACATACTCACTCCTGTGGTGAGGTTTTATTGGGTGAAGAACAGCCAATCTGTGCAATATGCTTGCTTTTAGTTTAGACACAGTGGTGGACTTTACATTCTTTTGCAAACAACATAAACGAAAGTCAGTCCAACTCTCCAATTTTTGAATCTGTCTTTCCTGTGTACCTCCTCTATGTCATCAGTGTATCAGAGATACAAAAGGCCAGTGTTCAGTGTGTAACAGGCAGCAGTGACAAGACCGGAGACCATCGGGTCACACTCCATTATGGCATGACCCACCGCCATCTCCACAGTTCTTTCTACCAGTACACCCCTAATCCCAACCTCACACATGCCTCGCCTGCCAAGAGCTTCCTCAGGCAAGTCTAAACTGCTAAACTTAAGAGAAAGCTTCAGATTTGAACAAGTCTTAATTCGTAGCATGATGATGGATTTCTGTTTTTTCCAGTGGGGGTCGACTAATCCGAATATTGGGCCATAACCTGGATGTGGTGCAGGAGCCCCAGATGTTGATCACCTTCTCCCCCCACGACTCCAGGAGTGAGAATCCAAGACGGAAGCAGAGAGGGAAGAGGGGGTACTTAGGGAAGGGAGAGGTTAGGGAGAGGATAGCCAGAAGGCTGGTCAGGAGTGTTTTAGACCATCCTGACTCTCCGTGTTCTGGAGACACACTCTGCTCGGTCAAACAGGTGTGTTTGTGCGTCTATATAGAAACACACACAATAAGATGCTATGAATATGCTTCTTTTTATCTAAATTGCTTTTCTGTTTTGTTTGTTGCCCCTCTCATTAGTTCACTGAGCGATGCAAGGTCAACTCCTCCTCCTTGATGTTTTGCCGCTCTCCAAAAGTGGACTCAGACATATTAGGCTCAAAGTTCACCGTGGAGTTTCAACTAGACAGCCTGCGCTTTGACTTCCGCAGTTTGAGCTCTCAGGCTTTCAGCTACGAGCCCAACCCGGTCCTGCAGCGCCTGAACCAGCAGGACCCCCGGAAGGCCTTCCGCTACAACCCCGGCAGCTTCATCCAGCTGGAGGTCATACAGCCAGTGACCGGTCATTTAGTCATCAGCTCAACTGAAACTTACCGCTGCATTTGTTAATATCTGTCAGATAAACAGCCAATATATTTACAACAAGTTAACTAACCACTTTTAATTCTATTTAGCGTAAAGCGTGTGTTTCTAACTTTAAAATGGTCCACTTTTTTACACAAGACTCCCTTTGATGGAGAAATGTGTTATGAGGCTTGTTTTTGCACGTCAGTTATGAGATTCAGTTTGCAGTTGGATCCCTGTTTTTTGCTCCGTAGTCGTATAAACATGAGCTACGCCCAACAGAAAACCGTCTGCCGAATAATATCAAAATGTAAAATCCTAACTACATCCAATTACCTGAACTGTACTGGTATTCATACACAGCTATGTTTCAGATTCACCTGAGTCAGATTTGTTAGAGTTCAAAAAGCTCCACATTCATATCAGTGGTCACAGTTCTCAAAAGTGCTTTTAGTGTTTCATTATTTGGATGTTGTTGCTTAATTTGATTTCTTATGCAATTTTATTTAATTCTTTATTCATTGGAAAGTGTCTTTGAGTTCCAAGAAAACATTTAAAAAATAGAATATATTGTTTGTATTATTTATTATATGATATTGGTCAAAAATATATTAAGTAATTTAACTATATAAAATATTAAAGAGCTCATTATCAGCACACCAACACTTATGAAAATATAAAAACTTGATCTTTAGACTTTTTGTGTTCCATATGGGATTCAAATGCAATCATTGTGATTTTTGTGGAAAAGCCATGACACATTTCTACATCAATGCCGAGCTGTGTTAAATTTGTATTAGTGGGTTGTCTCCAAGTTGTTCAGCTTCCCTGTCCTACCAATGACCCTGAATTGGATTAAATTAATTGGTTAAATAAATGGGACATTATCACTCACCTGTATCTAACGCAGTGAGTCAACAAAAGAAATCATAAAGTTGATTTGAACTTGTTTATTTTCCCTTTTCCCTCAGGGGGACAACTTGGACTTGGCCATCACTAAAGAGGAGGTGGTGGTGCTGATAGGGGATGGTGTTTGTGCCGTCAAGACTCTGACCAGAAACCATCTGTACTGTGAGCCCCCCCCGCAGCAGCCTGTACCGGCTTGTAGCAAATGCGAGGGCTCTGATGATCTGCCGGAATTCATTGTGAGTCCGCCATTCTGCCACCACTCCACGTGTCAACGCACCGGGTTTAGGACGTGTTTCAGATAATGACATTTTTAATCAAATGAGTGTTTGTCTGTTTTAGGTCCAAATGGGCAATTTAAACTTCTCCCTTGGCAAGATCCAGTATGACAACCTCAGCCTGTCTACATTTCCACTGGAGGCTCAGATTGGAGTTGGAGTTGGAGCCTCCATAGTGGTCCTCCTTGTCCTCATAATTGTTTTCATCTACAGGTCAGTGGGTGGCGTCTGTGTCCATAATTGCTTTTATTGGGTTGTTTTATAGCCACAAAGTTGAGTACTGAAGAAAGATCAGTTCATAATTTTTGGTGCAATTATTTCAGCTATTGATTCCATGGTGGTCCTGCTTGACTTTACACTTATTTGATTCTTGCTGTTGGGTTCTGTGAAATTTAAGCTGATTTTAACTAGATCACTGCTGGATTGCTATCACTTCTTATTCCGTCCCTCTTCTTTTGGTCTTTGTTGTTCTATGGTAGGAGGAAGAGCAAGCAAGCTTTAAGGGATTACAAGAAGGTCCAGATCCAACTGGAGAACCTGGAGACCAGTGTGAGAGACCGCTGCAAGAAAGAGTTTACAGGTGAGAGGGCAGAGCAAAATGATCCCAAAAGAGTGTTTGTGTAGATTCCCAATCATCCAGGGCAAGGTACTCCATTCTAACTCTTTGAAAGGCTGAGTTTCAGTCACGTGGTGCAGGTGCTGCAAATGTTACACCTGAGACCTGGTAAAAAATGACCAGCTACCAAGCTTAGATTGCAAGGTGTGAGTTGCAGCAGCACAGGTGGGTGATAAAGTGACAGAGAAACAAAAGACAAAACGGCCCGGAGGAGGCAAAACAAAGTACACCAAGGAATAGTGTTTTTTTCTTCACACTTAATTTCCTTTAATTTCTGCAACTTCTGGGGAGAACTTACAACTTAGGAAACGTAGAGCTCAAGGCTTTGAGGGTTTCCTCTGCAGTCGACTACCTGATGTACTAAAGAAAAACTTAGACAAATGATAGAAAAAAGATAGACAAGCAATAAAGCATTACAATAAAAAGGTATTTAATAATTCCGTTGTTTCAGACTTTCCACTGCCGATACAAACGGTGAACAGTTGCACCATGTAAAGTTGTTAACTAGATCCTTTGTGTAAACAATAGAATAGATATGGTGGCCCCATGGAATATTTGATATTCCTATCTGGGCGAGATTGAGCTCCCATCTGCGTTTAAAATCCATACTTCCACAACCAGTAAACAGGAATGGTTTCCCCACACCTTCTTTCTCCTGTTATTCTTCTGTTCTCAGACACTGTCGTTTGGACTATACGTCCAAGCTGATTTGACTAATGCCCAGTTGGGATAGTCACAGGTTTTAAGCACTTTCTTTGAGTGTTGATGCTCTTTCTGTTTTCCCTCAACCTTATTTGGTGCACTCAGCCTGGCAACGATGTGTTCTAATCACCACCAGTTTGTATTCTGGTGGGTGATGTACGTTGGTACTGGTCTTCCTGTGTTGAGGCTTCTGTCCCTTTCCATGAAAGTTCAGCTCCCCTGTCCAGCCTCAATGACTTAGTATTTTCAGACAGTTAGATGGGGTTTCAGATTGTAACGACTCTTTATGCTTATAAGATGATAGTCCCCACATGCAGTTCAGAGCTAAAGAGGCTGATGAGAGAAGAAACCTTTCAGGATTATCAAAATACAGCATATAGGAAAGGAAAAGAAGGAGGTTGGAGGAGATAAGCTAGAGATGAATAACTTTCAGCCTGTAGAACTTTATTTTTTTTGCGGCAGCAGCAGTCACGTGAAAACACCCCAGAACGTCTCACTTCATCAGCAATTTAGCGGGTGTCTGGCAGTACTGTCCAGTACTACGAATTACTGACACCTCCCACCAAGCACAGAGCCCAACACGTACTTAGAGTCTGATCAGAAAGTGAGGATAAAATAACTTTTAACCACACCTCTTGACTCATCGCCCCTCTTCCTTCGCCTTGGACCAGACCTGATGACGGAGATGATGGACATGTCCAGCGACCTGGTGGGCTCAGGCATCCCGTTTCTGGACTACCGGATGTATGTGGAGCGGATTTTCTTTCCGGGCCACCGAGAGTCTCCACTGAGGCGAGAGCTTGACGTCCAGGAGTGTCGGCGCCAGACGGTGGAGCAGGGTTTGGTGCAGTTGTCCAACCTGCTCAACAGCAAGTTATTCCTTACAAAGGTAGTGATCCTCTACGTTACCATCACTGCATTCGGAGTCTCCTCCTATCACTTCCTGCAGGTGTTCCTAGAGCTGTGGAGTCTGGATCTGTGGTTGGGAGTTTCCTGCTGCCCCCGTGTTCCTGCTCATCATTAGTATTAATATCATTGCCATTTTTCATCTAGTCTACGTGTTGCTGTGTTGGCTGCCCCTCTCTGCTCCCTCTGTCCATCTCTCGCCCTCTCTCTCTCTCTTGCTCTCTCTTTCCCCTCACCCCCAACCGGCCGAGGCAGATGGCCGCCCACCCTGAGCCATGGTTCTGCTCCAGGTTTCTGCCCGTTAAAAGGAAGTTTTTCCTTGCCTGTGTCGCCTAGTGCTTGCTCATGGTGGGAATTGTTGGGTTTCTGTAGTTAACTTCAGAGTAGGGTCTGACCTGCTCTGTTTGGAAAGCGCTGTGAGACAACTGTTGTTGTGATGTGGCGCTATATAAATAAAATTGAATTGAATTGAACTGCTAACCGAATTTTATGCCAAACTTGTCATTTTTATGTAGAGGCATCGTTAACCCTCCATTTTTTTCCTCCCAGTTTATTCACACTCTGGAGAGCCAGCGGACCTTCTCTCCCAGGGACCGGGCCTACGTAGCCTCCCTGCTGACTGTGGCACTTCATGGCAAACTGGAGTATTTCACAGACATTCTCAAGACCCTCCTGAATGACCTGGTTGAGCAGTACGTGGCCAAGAACCCCAAACTTATGCTGCGAAGGTAAAAAGGAAGAAGATGATCATATAGATTTAGGCTTTGCTTAGCTCTTTCAAAGTGTTTCACCAGTTTGGTTTGTTTTTGCAGAACAGAGACCGTGGTGGAGAAGCTTTTGACCAACTGGATGTCCATCTGCCTCTATGCTTTCCTCAGGGTCAGTCACTGCTTCATTTCATCATTCTGAGACAGGTTCTCAGTGTATGTAAAGTAAGCACTAAAACCGAAAAAAAAAGGGTTTGCTTTTATTGAAACTTTTTAATGAACATTTTTGTAAATTTGGTAGTGTTTGTGTACTTTCAGGTGGCTAGACTTGCCTGTAATAACTAAGTAGGTCAGGAAACTATACTGTAAAGCACTACATTCGGAAACAAAATGCACAGTTCAGGTTTAAGCATTAGTTTTATTGTATTTTCACCCTACATATACTAATTTGGATTTATTTTTTCATCCATAACAGAAAATAAAATGACATGTTGTAAATGTGAAAATCCCAGTACAGGACATAACATACACTGTCTAAGTGTGGTGAGAGTAAACTATCTCAATATTTTTAGTTTGCAATGCAGCAGTTCTTTTTGGGGGGGGTTAGAAGAGGGTGGCTGGGCTCATCTTTGGAGATAGTGAGGTCATGGAGCTCAAAGTGGAGCCTGAAGAAAAATGATGTCAAATGCCAAAAACTCCCACATTTAAATATCTGCAACAGGGAAAATCTTAAACCGAGAAAGCATTTTCCAAAAGGTTCTCCTCATTAAACGACCCGAGGACTTAAGGGAGTAACACTTTGCTGTATCTTGTATATGATTCATAAGGAACATTTCAGAAGTACTTTTACAGAATAGATAAATGCACAGTCTTTATATTAAAGTGCTTTGAAATGTCTTATTTGAAATTGGCTTATTGGTGAAACATAGCATATAGTTGAAGTCTTTCTCGTGTGTTGTTGAGCTTTTTCTTCCCTAGGTTGTGTTTAGCTATGCATTATTTCCAGACTTTTCATTCTCTGTACCAAAAAGTTGCAAATCACGGATTGAAGATAATGAAAAACTCATTCTTGTGCCCTTTATTTCCACTAAGAATATGCTTGCTCATTACTGTGTGCGTTTATGTGTGTGTTTGTGTACGTAGGACTCAGCAGGGGAGTGTCTTTACATGTTGTTCCGGGCCATAAAACACCAGGTAGATAAAGGTCCGGTGGATGCTGTAACAGGAAAGGCCAAGTACACCCTCAACGACAATCGCCTGCTGAGAGAGGATGTGGAGTACAAGACTCTGGTGAGACCAGCTTAGATTGACCCGCACCAATGGACCACCCGCATCACTCAAAGTATTTAAATAACCCTCGCTATTTTTTTCCCCCTTACCTCTCTCTTTACCCACCGTTTGTTGGCCCTCTGTAGACACTGAATGTTATAGTGCAGGGTGGAGGAGTGACTGAGACTCAGCCCGTTCCTGCCAAAGTTCTGGACTGTGACACGATCACGCAGGTGAAAGAAAAGATCCTGGATCAGGTGCACAAGGGCATCTCTTTCTCCTATCGGCCCCAGGCTGAGTCATTGGACTTGGGTAAGAACCAATGTAAACAACTGGCATTTAGTTCAAAGTGTTTCTTTTCTACAAACACAACTCACTGAACTAACTGGCACCATCGTCGCACAACAAGAGGGCCCCCGGTTTGAGTCTGAGGGGGCCTGCCTGAGTGGAGTTTGCATGTCTGTATGTGAGCCTCCCACCCTCCAAAAATATGTACATTAGGTAGACTGGTGATTCTTAACGGTTTTGTGTCTCTTTTGCAACGGCACCCTCCCCAGCAACGAAAAAATCAATACAATTAACCTCGTCCTCCCTTTCAATCCCATGCTGCTGCATGAATGCGTTTAGATGATACATCTGATACATTATTAATTCTTTAGTTGGTAATATTTAAGGTTTGAAGAGGAACCATGGATTGTAACACATTTCCAGAGGGAGCCCCCAACCTGTTGAAGTTGAACAGATTGGTACCCACTTAAGAATAAGCCCCATCCCTGTGAAAGTCCTTGTAAAACATTTCCTGTTTTTATTTTTTTATGTTATAATCGAACTTATCCGTTCAATGAAATGCTATATATATTATGTAATAATAATATTAATGTACAGTGACTGATAGCACTGTTTTTGAATATCTGTAGACGTTAAGAAGTTTTGACTTCGTGGAATTTTAATTTTAGCTGATAATCGCAGAAGGCCGAGCTTTAAACAGATGACCAGCTTCTGACCACCACTTAAAGCTCAGTCTTAAGCTCCACTTCTGTAAGATATAGTGCAAAAGCTCTTTTGTGCGATTCCATGGGAACTCTAACGAGAACCTAACACATATATTTGTTTTGGTCCCCTCCACTCTTTTTCCAGAGTGGAGATCGGGGGTCGCTGGTCATCTCATCTTGTCAGATGAGGACTTAACATCTGTCCTGCAGGGCAGTTGGAAACACCTCAACACGCTGCAGCATTACAAGGTAGCAGTTGTCCCCTTTTGCTCTGGGATGTGGCTCATAAGGACTGTGTGACGGGATTTGTCAGTGGATGCTTTGTGGTGCTCATTAGGTCCCAGATGGAGCTACAGTAGCGCTGGTCCCTCGCCACAACAAAAGCATTCACCATGACAACCACGACTACTTAGCTGGAGAGAGTGAGTTTCTTTGAAGTAATTATTTGCCTTTTTGCTCATTTCCAAATGTTTATGCACCCTAAGGTGCTGAACAGTAACGAGTCCTGGTCAGTGAATCGCCTTTTCCTCCACAGAAACCCCGATGCTTGAGGATACGGACGAGGAAGGAGTGAAACTGTGGCATTTGGTGAAGGCCAGCGAGGAGACTGAGGTGCCCAGACACCGCAGGGGCAGCCTCAGGGAGAGAGCCAAGGCTATCCCTGAGATCTACCTCACCCGCCTCCTGTCCATGAAGGTGCACACAAATGCTAAATACATGTTGAGAAATAAGCTTCAGTGCAGCAAAGGTTTGGATTGTATATTTCCATCTTTGTCCGAGCTGTCATTCAGTGCTGAGTGAGGTGTAAATGTTTTACTATCTAAAACATAACTGTGGTTTGAATTATTAATATCACTCATCTATATAATATTGGCTACTATATTGATGTGGGATTTGAGTGATAATATCTGACTCTGATTCTTCTTTTTGTCTTTTTCTTAGGGGACACTGCAGAAGTTCGTAGATGATCTGTTTACAGTGATACTCAGCACCAGCCGCCCAGTACCGCTGGCGGTCAAATATTTCTTTGATCTGCTGGATGACCAAGCAGCAAAAAACAACATAAGCGACCCTGAAACAATCCACATTTGGAAGACTAACAGGTACAGTAAGACTAGCAAAGAGAGGTTAGAAGTGAGGCAACGAACTGTTTATTTCTAAAAGAAAATGACATAGAAGCACAAACATACATGGGACTCAATCAATGTGTTTTTTTCAGTCTTCCTCTACGTTTCTGGATCAACATCATAAAGAACCCTCAGTTTATCTTTGATGTCCAGGCGTCCGACCACGTAGATGCTGTGCTTTCTGTTATCGCACAGACCTTCATGGACTCGTGCACCATTGCCGAGCACAAGCTTGGACGAGTACGTTGTGCCTTTTTTCCCCCTCATACACACAAGCAAATGAAAAGCTTTTTCTTAATTACATTAAAGAAAAGAGGCTAAAAGGGTGTACATTCAAATACAAGTTAACAAGCTATAATCTTTTAACTAGTTATGTTAGATTTGTCTCAAATGGAGACAAGTTGCACCTTGGGTTTTTGAAGCTAATTTTCATGTCCGTCCATCTTTTGTCTCTGAACAGGATTCGCCCATTAACAAGTTGCTGTATGCCAGAGACATCCCCCGCTACAAACAGATGGTGGAAAGGTTGGCTCAATTACTCAAGAACGTCTTCTTGTAATTCATTATGCAACAGATATGTACTACTGTACAATGACAAAACTAAAATGTTATGTGTGGATCAGAAATAATGTCAAAAAGAAGCAGTTGATTTATTGAAGTTTCAAGGTTGAAAACAGATGATCTTCTCTAGCATACATGTAAGAGTGATAACCAATGTTTGTTATTGCAGGTACTATGCGGACATCAGGCAGACCATCTCAGCCAGTGACCAGGAGATGAACTCGGCCCTGGCTGAACTGTCCAGGGTGAGTCCAGTCACAGATCAGATCCGACCGGGTCGTCAGCATCTGCCCAGTGACTGACCGCGACGGTTTCTGTTTCAGAACTACTCTGGAGAGCTCAACTACATGGTTGCTCTGCATGAGCTGTACAAGTACATCAACAAATACTATGATCAGGTATGTTTTTCATCACTCATTACTGTGCATCATGACACAATGAAAATACCTCATAATAGAGGCCATAAAAACCGGCCTGCAACACAAACTTGGTCGATTTAGGTATTGTTTCTGCCAACAATAAATACAGAATGTCACATAAATATTTAGAGCAATACATAAAATTGACGTTTTTTTAATATTACGTTTGGCAAGGATCCAAAGAAATAACTAAATAAAGAACAGCTGTCACAATCTAATGCCTGGAAAAACAGCAGGTCATGTACAAGCATTCACATGGTGATGATTAGTATAGAATGTAACAAAAGTTGGAGGGAATTTGTTTTTTTAAATGTTATCCCCTTGGCGTAAATTGAAATTGTCCTGCAGCTGAATTATGTACATAATCACAAACATCTATATGAGATATTTACAAGAGAACATAAAGGAATTAACTCGATTGATCTATCAATTCATCCATTTGCAATATCATCTTAATCCAAATCAGGCTTTGGAAGTTGTAGAGGGCTGAAGGAGAAATCAGAAATAATGACAGGGAAGGAAATTTCACTAAAACTTGTAAAAGTTTTACCATCACAAACATAACTATGGTTTGAATTGTTAATATCATACATCTATATAATATTTATTTGTTCCAGACTTTTCACTGATAGAAATCTTATAAGTCTATATCTGTAGTAAATCAGCTGATTTAAAGTACTTCAGTTTTAACAGTTTAACTCAAATTGTATAACAACAAACAACTGGTATACATTACTTTCTAAACATCCAATACCTCATTTAAAACCTAGAAACAAAAATCATCTTTGGATCAATGATCACATTTCAACCCTCAAAAAGCAATTTGAATGTCTTCGGACATTAAAAAAAAAAATCTAACAAAACACAAAGTGCTTTCTAGAATCAAATGTTAATTTCTAAAAAAGCAATTAAGATTGTAAAATAGATATTTTTTACCTGATAGTTTCACCAGATATCCCTTCCGGGATTATCGCATAGAGCCTCTTTTATTCTGGTCCCATCCTGCTCTGGCAGCCATGGGGATAATATTTCATTCTTGCTCAAAATAGATTGTTGGCTTAATGACCTCATGTGTTCATCTCTAACCACTGAAATCCATAGAGTGCAATGCAAACTATTCCAAGATCAGACTTTCAGACACGGGATACAAAGACTTGCATGGATTTCCTCCTGAAGCATGCTCATACAAATCCACCATTTCCTGGAACTTTTATAGCAGCACGGGGCCGTGGAAAGCTTGGGTTACATTAGGAAAACAGGAATATGATACACCTATGTATATAATCACCCGAAGCCACGCTGTATGATTCCTCTCAGGCCTTTCATTAGACTCCATGTTGAATTGAAATCATGTATGGACTCTATCGTAAGCTCTCAAAACAGCAGTGTTATTGGTGCTTGCACTGGTGAGTCATAAATATAGATAATAACCTTTCAGACAGACCAAGAAACAGTCAGACTGATAGCTGTGAACGTTTGAATAAGTTGGTAATGGACACACTGGCTAGAGCTGCTCCTGGATGTATGCGCTGAACTGGGTCCAGTATTGAGAGGTTACCACTCCGGGGTTTCTTACCAGTGTATTTTCTGACAGAAAGCCTGTGTGTTAACATCATCAACACTTTATTCATTATCTGCCTGAAGGCAATTTTAGGAACAATAAAATTTGAGGTCTTATCTCTGCTCCTTTATTAAGGGATAGTCTAGTGTTTCCTATGTGAAAGGAAAAGGTAAATATAAAGCAAACATTAAGGCTGCTTCCCTAAACATTGAAACATTTGGAGCTTCAGTTAATCCCAAGGATGCTTCAGCCCTATTACTATTAAATGTGTAATTGTTTATACAGGATGACGTCTAAATTAGATCATATTTAAAGTATTTTTAAACATATTTGTTCAAACGGCAGTATTATTGTGGGGAACTGTTCTAAACCGATGAAGGGAAACCTATTGTAACATTAGTTAGAAAACTCATGTTTGGTTTGTTGTTTTGTTTTTGCTTTTATAAACATACATTCTGTTTTGTGAAATGTTTTTTTCCATGACATGTCTTGTCTTTGTCAGATCATCACGGCACTGGAGGAGGACCCCACAGCCCAGAAGATGCAGCTGGGCTACCGACTGCAGCAGATCGCTGCTGCAGTGGAGAATAAAGTCACCGATTTGTGAAAGGAAACCCCATTTTTTTTCCCCAGAGGAAAACCAGTTTGTTCTAAGTGTTGAGAACACAAAGGCTCAGACTGAATCCAGCACATTTTAGTTTCGGTTGCTTTTTGAGCAGTCTGTATACTCAGTGGACAGGATGAACGCACGCCGTAAATACTGGACTAGTTCAGTTACCTGTCAGGGCTACTGGAGGTCACTTAGCGTTTTACATTTAGATGACCCCCCCCCTTCTGGAATATTTTTTTAGAATGCATCTCATGCCTTGTGTACTTCCCACAGACGGAAGGTCATTCTTTTTGTGTCTGTGTGTTAGTGTGTGTGCACATGCGCTTTCAGACTTATCCCGACTCCCTCGTCAACTGTCACACTTTTGGTTCTTGGTACAAAGTTACAGTTGGATGAACCATGAACTTCAGAATGATTTTTTTTCCACGTTTTTGGACCAACACTTGCTTGAGCCGTAACTCCCTGTAGTGCTGTTCTACCTCAGCCCCCTGTGCTGCCGTTTTCAGTTGTTTCTCTTTCACTAAGAAGTCAGTTCTGTGCTGCGTAGTTCATGTTGTGACTAATAATACTACTGGTTGAGCAAGTCCTTAGACTTTTCACACTTGACATGTTTCAAATACCAACTGATGTTTACTGATTTAGGACTGAAATCCACATTGTTTATGTAACAGGCTTTATTGATTAAAGCCTCTTTAATTTGAATAGGTTCCCCTTTGATAAGCATTCACTAAATGACTGCCCTTTTTGCTCGGGGTGAGAATTCAGTTGGGCCGTCTTCAGGTACCTTTAGGTATAACAACTGGTTTTAAGCTAGTATTAGGGGAAATGCGAATCGATGGATAGAATCTACCAGTGCCAGTAGGATATTATTTTTGTGTCTGAGAGTTTATATGTATTTTTAAGAGTGTCAATTTTCACAAACCTCTTATATTTCAAAGCCGTTTATGCTGCACAAACTTTTAATCACAGTAGTCATGTGATGCCAACCATGTTGCTAAAATCTTGTGTGTACAGACACAGGAAATGAGATAAAAATGTTGATGCCAAACAGGAAAAAGACAAACAATTCAAGTGCAAAATATCTTTTTTTCAATACCCTCTTAAAGAGTGTTAACATATGTGAGCTTGAGCCTAAAAATGGCTCAGTAAGTCTACATACAACCCACAGGTTTGTCATTACATTATTAAACACCAAATGTAATGCCTAGCATAGGGGGATTGTTCTGTTTTACAGTGTTTCAATGAAATACAACTCAATGATGATTGAGACAAACCATGGGAAGGAAAACTAACTGCTGCGCTGTGTAGAGTTAACAATGTAGAGGAGGCTCTGCAAAGAGCATTTTTAAGGATGTTTATGTTTACATCATTGTATATACTGATTGAAATGTCTCTATAGGGAGTGTACATTTTCACAGATTTAATAAAGTTTTCTTAAAATAACTATACTTTGTTTTGTTTTTTAATATCGTAATATCTTTGTTACAGCTGTACTTAAAAACAAACTAATAAACAAACAAAAAACAAATTGGCTTAATAGACATTTCGAAAAAGTGGTCTGGAAGATGTGTACTAACAAATCACTTTTTATCACCTTGAGGCATTTCCCAGATAGAAAGTTGCGGTGTTATTTCCCCTCCTCACCACTAGGTGGCGTCCTACACTAATGTTTGTAATGTGACGACCGTCAGACACTCAGAAGAAGAAGAAGAAGGGCGGAAGGGAAAACGCAGACAGAGCCTGCGTAATACGGACATCTTTTCCAGAGCAATTTTATATTCAATTATACATTTTTGTAAAGAAAAACACATTTTTAAAAAAAGACTTGAGGAACGTGTGGATTGAATCCATATCGGTGTTATAGCGGCAAAGGCAGCTGAAAAGGTACGGCCGGGAGGTTTGCTAGGCTAATTTCGTTAACGGCTGGTGTTAACATGGGCCGTTTGAATGGAGACACCAACGGAACTACATCCTTTACAAAATGTACCGCTGACAAAGACTGACAGACCACATTTGCCAGTGTTTATTACAGTATGGCCTTTGTTCATTCACAGGACACGCTAACTACCGAACCGAACTGTAACAATGGATATTTTCACGTCGCGTGAACAACCCCGTTATCCCGATATTGTTAGCCAGTTCAAACCGAGTCACCCAAACTAAAGCCAGGCCTTACCTCCAAAGTACTCTCAACAAATGACGTATAGCCGAGATTTATGAATTATTCAGATTATGGAAGTACCGAATTCTGATGACGTATCTCCCTGTAGCTTTTGTGAACTACCGTTAGAGGCGTTCTGATGCTGTTGTGTGTGTGCAGGGTGGTCAGGGCCGCTGCTGGGCTTATTCCGGACAGTAATGGAGCAGCTAGAGGGGCCGGGTCCAGACACGGGCTCTGAGGAGGTCAACCCGTTCTACCTGCAGCAGCTCCGGGAGCTGGACATCCCCGAAGAGGCGGCCAAACAGGTGCGACACCCCCGGGTCATCAAGTCTCCATCAAAGCTAAAAATAAAATAAATATGGGAAATAATGGCAACCAAATGAGTTATACTTTTGCGTTTTGTTATCTCTAAACGTTATTCTGC